ATTTTTATAGAGACGGGGTTTTGCTATGTTGCCCGGGATGGTCTTGAACTTCTGGCTTCAAGAAATCCTCTGGTCTTGGCCTCGCAAAGTGCTAGGATTATAGGCATGAGCCACCACGCCCGATCTTTGTTCTTAATGCCATTCTAGAAAAAATAACTTTCCCCCATTTTAAAATATTTGAGTCAAAGGCTCACTCTGTTGCTCAGACTGGAGTGCAGTGGCATGCTCACAGCCACCGCAACCTCAGCCTGCTGGGCTCAGGTGATGCTTTTGCCTCAGCCTTCCCACTCTTTAATTTATATAAGAAATTGGCTGTTGTGATTCTGTAAGAATAATACAGTTTGAAGAAAGGCAGTAAAACTAAGGTGTTTCTATTATATGTCAAATGGTTAATGTATGTGCTATATCAAGAATATATTCTGTAGATAAATTGGCAAAAACTGGAGGTAACCCAAAGGGGGCAGATACGTGGGGTCGGGGGGTGTATTTCACTGAATTAAAAACATACAAGTTGCCGGGCTCGGTGGCTCAGCCTGTAATCCCGCACCTTTGGGAGACTGAGGTGAGTAGATTGCCTGAGCCTGCGGGTTCGAGACCTGCCTGGGCAGCGAGACCTCATCTCTACAATAAATCAAAAAATTGGCTGGGCGTGGTAGCACATGCCTGTAATTCTGGCTACTCAGAAGGCTGAGGTGGAAGGATCGCCGGAGCCCAGAAGGTCGAGGCTGCGGTGGCCAGGAGCGGCCACTGCACTCCAGTCTGGGCGACGGAGTGGGACTCCAACTCAAAAAAAAAACAAAAACAAAACATACAAGTTGGCATAATTTTGAAATGCCATTTTGCATCTATCGGGGGCATTTGACACTGATGAGGCTGCGGTGAAATTGTTTTTTGCTTTGTTTTGTTTTTCGAGTTGGAATCTCACTCTGTTGCCCATGCTGGAGTGCAGTGGCATGCTCATGGCCATTACAGCCTCAACCTGCTGGGCTCAGGCGATCCTTCTGCCTCAACCTTCCAAGTAGCTGGAACTATAGGTATGCGCCACCACACCCAGATATTTATTTATTGTTTGTTTATTTATTGTAGATATGAAGTCTCACCAAGTTATCCAGGCTAGTCTCAAGCCCTTAGGCTCAGGAATTCCTCTTGCCTTGGCCTCCCAGAGTGCTAGATTACAGGCTTGAGCCACTGTGCCCAGCCAAAATTGTTTTACGTATTCATTAATTACCAGGCATTGTAAATTGGTAGTGCCTTTTTAGAAAGTCAAATGAAGCCGGGCTCGGTGGCTCAGCCTGTAATCCCGCGCTTTTGGGAGGCTGAGGTGAGTGGATTGCCTGAGCCCGGGGGTTTGACCTCATCGCTACAATAAATAAAAAAAATTAGCCGGGCGTGGTAGCGCACGCCTGTAGTTCCAGCTACTTGGAAGGCTGAGGCGAAGGATCGCCGGAGCCCAGCAGGTCGAGGCTGCAGTGGCCGGGACAGTGAGACTTCAACTCAAAAAAAAAAAAAAGAAAGTCAAATGACAGTACAAAGCAAAAACCAGGGGGTTTACATTACCAGTGACCTGAAATACTCCCTAGAATTTATAGATGAAACTCAACCAAAGCATAGAGGATATATATCTTGAATATATCCTCTATGCTTTGGTTGAGTATATAAAAGTACATTTAACTCAGTTGGGGCTTTTCTAATTCACTCCCACGCAACACCTGCTTCCATGCCATTTTCCATTTGTAGATGGAGTATGGAAAGAATTTTTTTTTCTTTTTTCTTTTTTTTTTGAGTTGGAGTCTCACTCTGTCACCCAGGCTGGAATGCAGTGGCATTTTCACGGCCACCACAGCCTCGACCTGCTGGGCTCAGGCGATCCTTTCCCCCAGGCTTCCAAGTAGCTGAAATTACAGGCGTGTGCCACCATGCCTGGCTAATTTTATTTATTTATTTATTGGTTGATTGATTGTAGAGATGAGGTCATACCAAGTTGCCCAGGCTGGTCTTCAATCTCTGGGCTCAGGCAATCCTCTCACCTCCCAAAGTGCTGGGATTGCAGTTGTGAGCCACCATGCTCGGCAAGA